AGGCCAATCCAAAAGAAAATGTATCTTGTCTTCCTAACAATGACAGAGCGGACAAATTGTCTCACACAGGGGTTGGTTTTTTGTTGTAACGACCTGTTTCTATACGTAATTGTAGATTTCCGCAGCGTAGTTTAGTCAGGTTACTTCTCTTAGCTCTGTTGATGATTCGTAAGTATGGCTCAGGATGTCGATCTTTCTTGAATAATCTGTGGGTTCGAAGCTTATTTCCATTTACTTTGTTCTTGTCGTTCAACATTTCCGTACACCACATTTCCTCATCTAGCTTCATTAAAAATCTTTTCATTCATTACGAGATCACACCACGATACAAAATGTACGGAAAGACAATCTTAACTAACATCAAACCTTTTGAGTGAGTAAGTGAGTGAATGAGTTTAGATTTACGGCGCTTTTAGCAATATTCCAGCTATATCACAGCATGGGACACTAGAAATGGGCTTCACACATTGTACCCATGTGGGAATCGAATCCGGGTCTTCTAGGTGACGAGCGAACGCTTTAACCACTCGGCTACCCCGCCGGCCCAAACCTTTTAAGGTCCGTATCTATGTTTTCATTGTTATTGAAGCAATGCATTATTATATGATGTCAAGGGAAATAACCCTTCCAGACCCAATGCCAGAATGGAAGTGTGCTCGTGTACAACGCAGGGCTCGCGGTAACATTTAGCCGCCTTTGTATCGGTTGGTGGTGGTTGCCAGGGTGGGGTTAAATATGTTCATTTCAGAGACTAGTTGTTAGTCTACGTTTGTGTGACCTGTAAGTACTATAATTATGTCAATATTAGTCTGTCTCACAGTCCCTGAACCACATTATCTTCCCTACCACCTAGCCCTCCCTGCAACGTTGTCTGTCTCACAGTCCCTGAACCACACTATTTCCCCTTCTGTCTAGCCCTTCGTGCAACGCTAAAGCCCTAAATGAAGCAAGTCTAGATTTCCCCAGAATCTCCCAACTCACTGGGGCCCCTTTTCAATTTAAATGGGTTTATTTGTTACTATCAAGATTATATATATTCAGGGACTAAGCGTCAGTCACCATCTGGCCCCAATCTGTTCCTTGTTCTGTCAACGCCATAGCTGGGCCTGTGTGTTTCATTAGGGAAGCTGAAATGTCCTTATGTAAAATGTCTATGGTTTAAATATGATCTGTTATAGGCTGTTATTGATAATTCATAGACTATAATTCTAATATGCCAGTACCGGGATACGTCATTCTACTGATGATCTGTTCGTAAAATAGGGCACACAACTGTACTGTCACTAGTATATCAGTGCTCGTTCACGAGTTAAGATGAAGATTTATAGAGAGGGAAATATTTGAGTTTGACAATCAGACTAGTTTCGCTCTGTGGATGTCAGTGTCATCCCATCTGACTGAAGGTTAAGTTAATTTATGTCATATCATAGTTTCCCAGCATCGATCGTTATCAACATCTCAGAAAGCACTGACGAGGGAAGCGGCAACTTCTGTGACATCAACATCTTCTTCCTAGGAACAACTGAACCAACACACCAAAAACAAACCATATGACAAGATTAAAACAATATTAATCATCATCAAGCAATTTCTCCTTGATTATGCGTTATGGTTGTATCATTTGATTGGTTTTACAGCCGCAGTCAACAATATTCCAGCTATCACAGTGACCAACAGCATGAGTATCGATCTGTACAATTAGGATACGATGACATGTGTTAACCTAGTCAGCGAGTCTGGCCAACCGATCCCGTTAGTCGCCTCTTACGACGCTGTATAAAGGTAGTCGACATAATAATCAATACACATTTCTCATAGCTGGGGGAGAAAGTTTAATGCATCATGAGGGTTTAATGTAGTCATAAGATAATAAAAGTTCGATACAACCGGCAAATGGTCTGACGTCCGGCGACTAACGGGATCATGTGGTCGGGCCGGTTGACTTGGTTGACACATGTCATCGGTTCCCAATTGAGCAGATCGATGCTCATGCCGTTGATCAGTGGATTGTCTGGTCAAGACTCGATTATTTACAGACCGCCGCCATATAGCTGGAATATTGCTGAGTGTGGCGTAAAACTAAACTCACTCACTCACTTTGTAAGCAAAACAAACGATCTTTTTCATTAATTGATAATACTTAAATACTTAATAAATATAAATACTCAGGACCCCGTTGCACAAATTCACAATGCAATGTTATTGCTAAGACAATTAAAAGTCCATTCTCTAGTATGGTAGTGACCATCACCTTACTGTCACGGTCACTTGTGGAGCGGATCCCAGCTATATACTGAATATATGGTAAGAGATGGTTAATCAGTGATCCTTTGTATATGTTGCCTCACCGGCACCGTTGTGAGCAGGCTGTGGGCTAGCCTAGTGGTTAAAGCGTTCGCCCGTCACACTGAAGACCAGGGTTTGACTCCCCCCTTGAGGAACCCATTTGCTGTGTCCCCAGCCGTGATATTACTGGAAAGTGGATAAAGGCGGCGTAATATTTCACAAAGACCACGAATCCCACGAATTGATAAATTTGAGGATTCGTCCGGATTCGAAGAATTGTGCAAATTTTCTGGTTCATTTTGGGATGCTCTGCGATTCAGTTACGATACAGGTACGATACAGGTACGAATATTCGTGGGATTTGGCTGGAATCGCACGAATATTGTCAAGAATTCACTACGATTTAAAAGAATCTATTACGAATACTTCCCGAAGGTTAGGAATCAGTTACGAATCAGTTAAGAATATACCGAATGCACGTATGAATCAGGTACGAAAAAATGAATTCGTGACTATTTTGACAATTCGTGGGAGATGAACTTGAGTATTAACACCAGCTGCTGATTGCTAGAAGAAGACTGCGTCGAAGGAGGAGGAGAAGAGCACCCAGGTGGTGGGTTAGACCGTTGCTGACACCAGGTAGAAAACAAGAATATGGTTGCTATAACAGACTGATGCAGGAGATGAGGATGGAAGATGAGAATGCCACCTCACATGTTTGATGAGCTACTGAACAGGATTAGCCCTGTCATCCAGAGGAGGGACACCCACATGAGACCAGCCCTTGATGCCGGAATGAAACTAGCCATGACCCTCAGACACCTGGCTACAGGAGACTGGTATCGCACAGTGGTATGGACTGTGCAGGCCATCATACAAGAGCTGAAGGATGACCTCATGCCACTACTAATGACCCAGGAGGACTGGAAGGTCATTGCCGAGCAGTCCCAGTTCCTCATGCCCTGGGTGACTTGGATGGCAAGCACATAGCCACCAGGAAACCACACAACTCAGGCAGTGTGTTCTTCAGCTACAAAGGCTTCTTCTCCGTGGTGCTGATGGCCCTGCTGGATGCGGACTATAAGTTTATCTGGATAGACACTGGTGAAGGTGAGAAGGTCACCAATCCGACGCACAGCTGTTTGGTGCTTCAGAACTGAAAGGGTGCATTGATGGCAACACCATAAACTTCCCTGACAGCGATCTCCTGCCCAATGATGACAGAGACACACCCTACAACATCCTCGGGGATGATGCTTTTCCACTGAGGACTTTCCTCATGAAACCATATAGCAGGAGGGGCCTTGACAACAGATTATCCAGGGGCAGACGTGTGGTGGAGAATGGTTTCGGAATTCTGGCCAACAAATTTAGATGCTTCCTGGGCACCCTGGAACAAGGACCTGATGTGGTGTGGTTACTGGTGGAGACAGGAGTCAAACTCCACAACTTATTGAGGATCAGGTTCCCTGTCATTAGAAATGCAGATGTGGACCGGGAGGATGAGGACCACAACAACATCCCTGTTGCCTGGAGGCCAAGAAAGATAGCAGTGAATGTTAACTAAATGATAACTGTTGATATTTCATGTTAAAATGTTTTACTATTTGTGTTCATAGTGTTTATTAATATTCGTTAGCGCTAATAAAATGTTCCGTTTATTAAATCAAGAAGCCCAAGAGGCTTGTACCGCTCTACCGACTCCCGGCACAACAGCTCCTTAGAACACTATGGTAGAATTTCTGCTTTCTGCCATGAATGTATTTTTTTCAATCTTCACATTGCCCCAATCCATTTCTCAAAATTTCTGTTCGGACCGAGCAGTGGTAAAGGAAACGCAAACAAAAAACAAAGTTTGAACTTTTTTTCATATCTTTTTCAAGTTTTATTGGTATTATATAAAACTGAAAGACAGAAATACTTATCTAAGTATATTCTTGCTGATTATGGATACGTGGCACAATCGTCAGCAGCTAATGACCTGAAGTCAATGTTAAACTCCTTATATACCCAATTTGCCGGCATTCGTAGCTGATTTTCTTACTAGTTCTTACTTGCTTCGTACCTGCTTCGGCGTGTACTTGAGGGATTCGTGACAGATTCGTAGCCGATTCATTGTCAGGCCACGAATTGAGTAATCTACGAATGAGTTAAAAATACCTACGATTCGATTACGATTCGTTTACGATGAATACGAATTTGTTACGAATGAACTACGATTATTTTAGATCGGGAGTTCGTGGCCAAAATTTTGAACAGTTCAAAACTTTTGACACGAATTCCCGATTGCTGAAGAAAGGCAAGAACTGACTACGACTATATTGCGAATTAGTTAAGAACTTCACGAAATGATTACGATTCAACTACGAATCTTCAAATGTGTCAATTCGTGGCGATTTGTGGGATTCGTGGTCTGTGTGGAATAGGAGCATAAAGCAACATCCACCAATATATATGTTTCATTTAGGGGTGAAAATAAAAACAAAAAAACCCAAAAAACATACACGACTGAAGAGGTTATATTACGCATTCTGTAAAGTAGTACGCGATCGTATCCGGTCAGTTGCATATAAATATCAAAGCAGGACACACATCGGTTACAGATATATCTTACTCAGAATTGCTGCCGAGCAAACAGTTATTGTTGACAGATATCGTAAGGAAATGATTATTATCGAAGAGGAAGTTTAGTAGAGGAAATTGAGACTACAAATGATCAATTATCAGAGTTGTGATAGGCACTTCATCTGACTTCACCTGACAGTTGCAAGTCTGGACCTCACTGGACCTCACTGGACCACAGACCTGTCCAGCAGCAAGGTAGGACTGGGTGAAAGAAGAACTGGGTAACATCAGGCTTGTCCCGTGGTATGGGAACTCCTGTGGTATTCGTTGACATCTTAAATCTTTGTATCAATAATTTTGAAAGGATTGGATTGAAATCTTGACTGGTGACACGGGTGTATGGACAAGTAAAATGTCCCCCATTCCCTATTTGTCGAAATACTGGAACGATACAATTTCCTGTTCCATTGACGTCACGTCAAAGACCTGGGTTCGATTCCCCACATGGGTACAATGTGTGAAGCCCATTTCTGGTGTCCTCCGCCGTGATAGTGCTTGAATTTTACTAAAAGCGGCGTAAAACCATACTTACTAAACGTGTGCAATGTGCACCCTGTTAAAGGGTTTGCCGATCGCGTTTTGTAACCTTTCTCATTTAACAGATATGGCTGAATTTTTAATGTTCCTCAGAATACTTTTCCCAGTATATATTTTTTGATGTTCGCTCCAATTTTGGCCATCAGCCGCTGAAGATCATGTCAGCCTCCTAAGATTTGTTGAAAACTACCGCCATATAGTTCGCTGATTATTTCAGATAGGAATAACCCAAGGATTTTCTGGGATAGTATTGATCACGTCGACCTGCTACTGGTCGTAAGAAAAGATGACATGGTTCGGGTGGTGAGGTTGGGCGGTTAGTTTGGGTTAATAGCGCGTCACTCGGGAAGATCTTCAGCAACCCATGCTTGTCGTAAAAAGCGACTAACGGGATTGGGTGGTCAGGCTCGATGACTTGGTTGACACATGTCATCCTATTCCAGTTGTTTAGATCGATGTTCATGCTGTTGATCATTGGATTGCCTGGTCCAGAGGTTATAAAATGCCCAAGTATCAATTGTCTGGGTTCGTAAATCGTTCACTAACAATTTGATGGTGTTGGTCTTTCGAGGACGAAAGCTCGAAAACGGTACAAAATTAAGCATTCAAATTTGGCACAAAGATAGTTCGATAATTACTCTTAATGTTGGTGTAATTTGTTTTTCGTTTATACTGCAATGATACCTTAAACTTTGATATGTTTATGCATCTTTACGGAAACGTAGCCGAAGCTAGACATTGTTCTGCAGGCTCATGGGCTTGTATAATGACAGAATGAAAAGATATTTGGTATGATTACGCGCATGTGTCTTCTATTTTACAGCATGAAGTTTGGGGACAATGTGGCCTATACAAATATAGATATTGACAATTTTCCTCCACCTAAAAAATAAAACCGGTTCATCCTCTCGCGTGATAGGTCGTTCACTTCCATGCCATGATTTTTTTCCTGCCGTTCACCGCTCCTACAGTGTGCAAATAGTGATGACGATAAGTATTACAGAAACGCCACCACTCAAAAGGTGAAATTGGGTATTCTGATAATATAATACGACTTAACACAGTCGGCATGACAAGAATAACAGTTTTTAAAATGATGATATGGTAGCTGCTGACGACGAAACACTTCTGTGTTGATAGTCTTCAGAGGGACAACCCATTTACATATGAATTCAACTGATAGCGGAAGTAAGTAGTGGAGGGATGACGGAACTGCCAAGGCGTTTTCATATGCAGCACGTGGTCCAGCAAGTAAGTCCAGCAGCACACCCGTGAAGCAAGCCCGGTAGCACACCCGTCAAGCAGCAAGGTAGGATGGGTTGAACACTTTTGATCTTAACGAACTGGGTAACATCAGCGTTTTTGTCGTGGTATGAAAACTATTGTAATATTAATTGAGAACCAATACCGAACTCATGGCTTGCTATATGGAGGAGCGAGGAAGTAAATCGTAAATCACCACGCCGGCTCATCAGTTCCCTGTTGGTCCATTAAGAAATAGGAGTTTGTTACGACGTGTTCGTTACGACATGTTCCCTTCGTAACACCAGCGTACATCACTGCCAAAGTTATATACGTAGTTCATTGTCTTTTGTAGGATATGCCTGCTCGTTTTCCCAGTATTTGTTAAATCTATTCCAAATCAATACCCAATAAACTGTTTATCTGTTAAACATCCTTAGACAATGTATGCATTTTTACTGCATAAAATCAAAAATGTTATTACGCGTCTATATTTTTTCATAAAACATTTTGTACCTATTAATATATACGGAAGTCATGTTTGTAACCTGGGCCTAGATTTTCGAAGCTCTCTTAAAGCTAAGATAGTCGTAAGTTAATGTTAATGTATGGCACTTACGACTATCTTAGCTCTAAGAGAATTTCGAAATCTAGGCCCTGGTTTGTTACATGGTTGAAAATGATTTGTTTTATATGTCTAATCTGCCGTCTAAAGACTGGTGGGATTTTCACACTGACTCTTGAGAATATGCAAGTGCATTTCCGTCATGTGTTTACATGTTGTTTGCAACAACATGTGTTCTTGGGCATGTCTTGCATTTGAGTAAATAACTCTTCCTTTTTATGAACTCAAGACATACATATGTGTTCATATGTGCCAAAAATCAATCATTAGTATCAGTAATTTGATTTTACGAAAATACATATATTGAACACTGAATTGAAATGACATTTTTCACCACTGCCAACAAACTTTTGATTTGGGACGTATTTCTCAACAAAATATTAATTTGGGTAATGTTCCTACCCCCACATAGACATCAAATGGATGGTCACTCACTGAATTGCTGTTCAGAGTAGCGCTAAACCAAACTCACTCACTCACTCACTCACTCACCCACTTGAATTCACTGGCTTTACCACGATATTTGGAAACAATGAGTAATTGGAAACATGTTAAAAGTGAGTGAGGGAGTTTGTTTTTAGCAATATTCCTGTAACATCACGGCGGGGGACACCAGAAATGGGCTTCACACATTGTATCCAAGCGTGACGAGAGAAAGCTTTGAACACTAGGCTACCCTACCGCCCCAAACATTTTCCGTAATATGCAACGTATACATATTCGTGTTATTTTTATCTAATCGCAAAGGAAAGAAGCCGAACCAGGATACTGAATTTATGTTCTGAACTGAAGCCATACGGAAGTAATCCTGGCACAAGGTTACAATATCCTGCTCAAACATACCTCGTGAGTTATCTCGTGTTTATGCCGGTGTTTCAGTCACGTGATGCGGGAGAGTACCATCGAGAGTTACTGTAAACTTGCATTAGATACTCACTCGGATATCCACAAATCAGGCCTTTAAGCTATGTCAACTTGCATAAGTGTCTTGGGCTTCAGTGTTATTCCCTGGATTAAAGGGGATGGGCAGCCAACAGAGTAACTACTACTGAACTAATCCACCCCTCGTTATGTCAACCTGCAATCTAGATTAAAGTGTTCGAGCACATTATTATATCAGGGAACTGTCTTAACGCACGAACATCCAAGTCACATTCAGTCTGCACCAAAATCTCACTATCAAAGTTGAATATGATAATGACAAAATGTTATGTGATCAATGTTATAGAGCGAACTGTTATTTTCAGTTGAGCTGAACAAAATGCCTGTTCGGGGAGTTGTCATCGTCCTATTTCTTGCCTTGATGAACACGTGAGTGTCCTTTTTTGGTAATTTCGGATGATGAGTGAGTGAGTGAGTGAGTGAGTGGGTGAGGTTTTAACGCCACTTTGAACACTAATTCGGTTACATCACGGCATGTGAGCTTAATGTTCAGGAAAACCCGATGCAGGTCTTAGACTTTGGTGACACCCACGAGCAGGGTTATGGTCCTGACACAACAGGATTCGAACCTATGATCATTGTTTCCTGACATGCCTAAGGGAGGAAACTCACCCCTCTGCTTCTTTAAGGCATTTGATGTGAACGGGTCCGTGTGTACAGCCACAAGAACATGTACATCTGTCACTAACTGTTCATGGGATGTCTGAGACTTGTATCAAAACGAGGCTGGCGTCTAAATGTTACATAGAAGTTATATGAAATAAAAATAGGTATAGTAGTTGGCTGTTTTCATCTGAATATGTAACCATACAACCTTTCATAACGCATTTCCTTCCACAAAGTCAAGGACAAAGCAGTTTTAATTAAAGTTGCAAGGAATATATTATGTTTGCACAAATTATTGTGCACGTGTGTTAATGAAAATTAAACAAATTAAACAATTGTCTGTATAGATTTCTAGGTGTGTCAGTACCAAACATGTCTTCGTGAGTGTTACTAAATTCATACCAATTGAACAGATGCGACTACGTCTATAGAGGAAATCCGTGCAAAGATGTGGTATATATTTATACTGGTCCACGTACTTACTCATACTCGGATGTATAAGTTGACATTTCCTCAGGTCAAAGCGATTTCCTTGTGCATTGTATAGTAACTAAACATGATATATTGCTATCGCTTGAACTATCGCATGGCTACAATATATGCTGTGCAAACAGAGTAGGGGATATTTTCTTTTTATGTGAGACTAACAGAACATACACCAATGTCTGGTAATGAAAAATAATTTATGCGGCCAAAACATTTCCAATGAAAACAAGCTTCCAAACATAACATCCTGACAGCTAGTGACCTGGGACAGCTCGTGCAGTTGACGGAATGCCGCAGTCACCAGTATCACTTTCACTCAGTAATTGATTTTGGAATTTGACAATTTGTTTCCTTCAGACGAAACACTCAAGATCGTTTTATCAGGAAGGTGAATGAGAATGTTTTTACGCCGCTTTTAGCAATATTCCAGCAATAGTACGGCAGGAGACACCAGAAATGGGCTTCACACATTTTACCCCCGTGGGACACCAGATACAGGCTTCACACATTTTACATACGTGGGGAATCGAACCTTGGTCTTCAGGGTGGCTGGCGAACGCTTAACCACTGGCCCTTATACTGAATGAAGCAACAGCATTGATCAACGTTTGCAACGTACTGGACGTATACGTTCGATATACATGTTGCAGGTGGTTGCACTTGAGAATACTGTTGCCCAAACTCTGCAACAGTCTGTCATCAGCACATTGTGGTCGGTGCTCAACTAACACATGATACTGCACGTCTCCCTAGATATTTCTAGCCCAGTTCAGATTGGACAGAACGATGGCTTTAAGATCTCGGTACAAGCTGCCACTCAGATAGAGGACCGGCTGCAACAGGCAGCTGGGGGTAAGAGGACATGCCCAGACGGAGGTGAATTGTGCGCAGAGATGGCATTTGTGTGCACAACGTTCACATGTCATTCCACCACTTACAGCAGCCATGCGAAAAATAAATCAAAGGCCTCAGTGGTGTTAGCAACGTCATCAGGGGGATAATGTCACATCTTCAATTGTTCACGCTCGACCTTCATGACCGAAGGAGTCCAGTTTGAACACGTCCTGGTGCACAGGGGCTTGTAGCGCTAAAATACTGCCATCAAGGTATATACTGTCACTAACGGGGTCTTAGCACTACAAAACTGCCATCAAAGGTATATAGTGCCATAGCACTGTAAAACTCGCCATCAAGGTATATACTGTCAATAACGGGATCTTAGCACAAAAACTGCCATCATGGTATATACTGTCAATAACGGAGTCTTAGCACTATAAAAACTGCCATCAAGGTATATACTGTCAATAACGGGATCTTAGCACTGTAAAAACTGCCATCAAGGTATATACTGACACTAACAGGATCTTAGCACTGTAAAAACTGCCATCAAGGTATATACTGTCACTAACGGGATCTTAGCACAACAAAAACTGCCATCAAGGTATATACTGACACTAATGGGATCTTAGCACTGTAAAACCTGCCATCAAGGTATATACTGTCACTAACGGGATCTTAGCACAACAAAAACTGCCATCAACGTATATACTGTCACTAATGGGATCTTAGCACTGCAAAAATTGCCATCAAGGTATATACTGTCACTAATGGGATCTTAGCACTACAAAAAGTGCCATCAAGGTAGAAACTGTCACTAATGGGATCTTAGCACTATAAAAACTGCCATCGAGGTATATACTATCACTAATGGGATCTTAGCACTACAATAACTGCCTTCGAGGTATATACTGTCACTAATGGGATCTTAGCACTACAAAAACTGCCATCGAGGTATATACTGTCACTAATGGGATCTTAGCACTATAAAAACTGCCTTCGAGGTATATACTGTCACTAATGGGATCTTAGCACTACAAAACTGCCATCAAGGTATATACTGTCACTAACGGGGTCTTAGCACTGTAAAAACTGCCGTCAAGGTATATACTGTCCGTTCTTAGCGTTACAAGCCCCTGTGTCCTAGTGAGTCCTGGTAGTATTAGGGATGGAACCACCATGGTATTGGATCGTATCACAATGACTGATCACGGCAGATTTCTGAGTATATGCTATATACATGCTTATACATCATTACTGAACTACTAGGTCAAAACGACCCAATGCTATCTGTATACAAGGTACATGTTTATATATCATTACTAGACTACCAGGTCAAAGTGTACCAGTGGTATCCGTACACACGGTACATGTTTACATATCATTACTAGACTACCAGGTCAAAGTGTACCAGTGGTATCTGTATGCAAGTAGCATGCTTGTATATCATTACTAGACTACTAGGTCAATGTGACCCAGTGGTATCTGTATACAAGGTACATGCTTGTCTATCATTACTACCAGGTCAATGTGACACAGTGGTATCTGTATACAAGGTACATGTTTACATATAATTACTAGACTACTAGGCCAAAGTGACCCAGTGGTATCTGTATACAAGGTACGTGCTTGTATCATTACTACACTATCAGGTCAAAATGACCCAGTGGTATCTGTATAGAAGGTACATGTTAACATATCATTACTAGACTACTAGGTCAAAGTGACCCAATGGTATCTGTATACAAGGTACGTATTTGTATCATTACTACACTATCACGTCAAAGTGACCCAGAGGTATATGTACAGAAGGTACATGTTTACATATCACTACTTGACTACTGGGCCAACGTGATCCAGTGGTATCTGTATACAAGGTACATGTTGACATATCAGTACTAGAAGACTAGGTCAATGTGACCTAATGGTATCTGTATACAAGGTATATGCTTATCTATCATTGCTTGACTACTAGGTCAAAACGACCTTGTTGTATCTGTATACAAGGTACATGCTTACATATCATTAGTAAACTACCAGGTCAATGTGACCCAGAGGTATCTGTATATAAGTTACGTGCTTGTATCATTACAGGGCCATCAGTGGGGACAAGAATTGGACGTATTTCGTCTTTGCGCAACATTGGCCACCATCTCTTTGCAATGATGCATCACAAATGAACGTACGTTTGCTGTAACTGTTTATTCTTTTATATATTGATTTGTGAGTGTATATGGTCCCAAGAGTAACAGCCTTTTTACATGTGTCATATATGGTAGGTAGTACTGGTGAGACATTGAATTTAGGTTGTGCTGTCATTCATTGATACACCTGCACGGAATTACTCCCGTAGCCAAATACATCACTATCGCTTTGGGTTGCTGACATTATGGCAGGCCCGCTATCATCACTTGTGATCAGTAGTCTCAAAGGGAAGTTGATGAGTTAATTCTAAATACAGCCTTATTGTACAATTCTCTATTGTCGGGACCCGTGAAGGTCCGGGTTAGAATTTATCTTCAGTAACCCATGCTTGTAGTAAGAAGCGCCTAACGGGATCTGGTGGTCAGGCTCGCTGGATTGGTTGGCACATGTCATGGTATCCCAATTGCGCAGATTGATGTTGATGCTGTTGATCACTGGATGGTCTTATCCAGACTCGATTAAAAACAAAGCGTCTTTCAGCAGCTCAGCTGGGCTGGATATCGGCAATATACAAATGTTAGCATAATTATTTACAGACCACTGCCATGTAGCTGGAATATTGTTGAATGCGGCGTAAAACTAAACCCACTCACTCATTATTATCGAGACAGGTGCGTTACTTGTAAGTGTGACTTTAGAGAAAGTCATTAGTTTAGCGTACTATCGATGCAAACAGGGGGAATTGGTGTGTTAACTTTAATTACAATCTTATCGTACAAAGTACCGCATATTGTGAAGTGATATCTTGACGGTGGATCAGTAACAATTACCGCCAATTGATAGCTGAACCAGCTGGTTGCACTTCCAGACAAGAGGTAGAGTTCATGAATAATTGGTCGAGGTTTATTAGGGGTTTCTCCGAAATACGGTGCACGTGCTCTGTGTATTTGTATCGAGTTGGGACATGATCTACCTCTCCTCAAGTGTCACAATGTATTTTTTCAGCACACGTGTAAAGGCCTTCCCAAACCAGTGAAAACATGGACGGTGCACGGCCTGTGGTAAGTGCTTGAACTTCCCCACCAAACACTGTCACATCACATAATTATTTGTTAACCAATACTTATTGCTGAATAATAGTCCAACCAACACAATTTGTGTTTAAACTGATTACAAATGCACAACATGTTCATGTTGACTAAAGGGAGGTGAGGTGGCCTGGTGGTTTAAGCGTCATGTTGAAGACCCGAGTTCGTTTCTCTATATAATAACATCGGGGTATAGAAGTCTTGGTG